TTCAATTGTATATAATCCACACACAGCCTCACAGAATCTTCTTTCTTCGTGACTAACAAAATTGGTGCCCCCTACAGTGACACACTCAGACAAATGAATCTATTCTCAAGCAAATCTTCAAGTTGACTCTTCAACTCTTTTAATCCCAATGCAGACATACGATATGGATCCATCGATATTGGACTAGTTTCAGGAACTAAGTCGATCACAAACTCCACTTCACGTTCCGGCGACAAATCACTTATCTCATTAGGAAAAACCTCTGGACAATCACAAATAATTGGCACACCACCAACTTACCCATTTTATTAACACTCAAAGTTTCCATCAAAATAAACATCTCAACACCATCCTGTATTGACTCACCAAAACAATTTGTAAGCACTTAGCTTAACTCAAAACAATTCACTGCACACGCCATCTAAGCTTGCAAGACATGTCTATCTCATCCAACATGACTCCGTCTACTATCAACAAAAGATTAAGGGTGATTAGTTCCTCAATTTGCCAATAGACAGCCGAAAATCATGATGGGGCATAAACCATCTTTATCAAACCATAAGAGCGTTCAACAACACACTAAGCCGCCACTCCACGCTTGCAGCATCCTGGAGAAGTACAAGTTTCTCCTCCACTTGTTTCATTCCCACTTATGCAGACAAAGGTTAGAAAACAAATGTGTACCGACAGTGTTTTCACACACATGTCGCATACAAGGGAACAAATAACATTATACAACTTGGCCGGACGGACCGATCTGCTTCGATACCACTAATGTAACACCCTTTTCTACCCCACAATTAAAAGACACATTTATTCAAAGGCATCAGAGTAAAATGTTAAACTCAACAATAAATCACCTCAAAGGGCGTATATTTCTCAAAGCTCAAAATAAGTCAATGCTCCATGTATAACGAGTTTTCCCAAAAGATATCAAAATTTGCTCAAAGGCAGCGGAACTCACAAGACATATTCCAAAGTTTTCCCTATATGGAAAGGTAATTAAAATAACTCAATAAAATATAGCTCGACTCAAAGACCCCAATCCGATGTTACACTATCAGAGCAAGACCCTCTAAGTTGACCAAAGGCCAACAACTCAAAACTTTAAAAGTCCTCATTGACATCCACGGCTAAACCTGGTCATCTGCATGTTACCCATGTGGAGGTAACATTCAAACAAGCAGGGTGAGTAAAACGATTCATAATAATCAATGTATGAAAATCAACATATAAAATGTCGTCATAGTCATATTCAACATCATCATATTCATTAATAGGCCTCCAAGGCCACAACATCATAAATTATTCCAAATCACTCATAAATGCAAATGCAACAAGACTCAATGCATGTGATACCAATCATCACAGCACGATGGACACTGGGTCATCAACCCTCCATAAATCCCCATTAATAGGATCAATTCTACTAGAGAACTGGAGCACATCAAAACACTTCACATCCGCACAATGGGATTGAAGCCAAAGTAATCGAGGTCCTGAGCCGAAGTCCAGATGCACATGAATGCATGATGCACACGTCACAAATCATCCTCATAATAACATCATTGGTGCATCATTATTCATCATAATCATCATCAAAATCATATTAACATAGCTCATCATAATAATCACCATTATACATCATGTTATCATAGCTCATCATAATCATCATCATCATCATATATCATGTCATCATAGCTCATCATAATAATCATCATCATACATCATGTCATCGTAGCTCATCATAATAATCATCATCATCATCATATACACATCACATAGAATTCAAAGTCATACTCATGTTAATTCTTTATATTATCACATATTAATCACATAGAATTCATAATTATACTCATGGGAATCATCATATTATCGCATATTAATCACATGGAATTCTCAGTTATACTCATGCTAATTCATCATAGAAATCACAGAATCAAACATCAAGGCATCGCTGCATGCAATCAACATTCGCGAAACTCTGCTACGTTCGCTAGCATGTTCGCTAGGCGAGTCTGGGACGGGTTTCTTCGCTGTGCGAAAGATTCTTTGCTAGGCGAGTGTGGGAACAACATTGTTCGCTATGCGAAGCATTCTTCGTTAGGCGAACAGTACGATGACAGCAAATTCTGCTACGCACTAGAAATTAATTCAACCCAAAAGTCCACACGATTCACTTCCCCAATGCCCCCAGAACATCCCTAAATCATCCCCAAGGTCTTATGGCGATAAAGGCACAAAACCTACGGTTCATTAGGCCAATCCCGTATCATATTCACGCCCTAAATCACAAATTCCTTACAATTACCCTGCAGGCATCAGAGTTATTCACTATCTAATATTCATATCCCTTTAGGGTTAGACAAATAACAAATTATGGTTTTTGCTATGAAGGCCTAACTTTCCCTTTTCCCCAATGAATTCCACGGTTAGATTCACAATAATAGATTTAGGCCATGAAGGCCAAAGATCACTAATTCTCATATCCACCATCAAAACCCTTAAACCTTAAATCTACCTTAAATATATTGAAAGTTACATATGGAAAATCATGAAGGTAATACTCCCCATACCTTAATTGTCGATCAAGGTCTTCTCAAATATTTCAGAGAACCTTTCGAAGCTCTTGCCTCCAATCTTCCTCCTCAGAGCTCTGGCCTCAATTCTTTTCACGGTCTAACAAATGAATCCTAATCTTTTCACAATTTCCTTTTTGTTAAACCTATTCTTGGGCCTCACAATTGAGTTTTTCCCAACTTACCCTCACTAACTCCTCTTAAATATCCAATTTTCCCCTAGTCAACTTGTATTTATTTTAATTAATAATAATATTAATATATTCATATTATATACTATTATTGAAAATAAATAACCCAAATTCCATCAATTTCTAATATTCTACAAAACCACCGAAAATCACAGAAATGCAAATATTCTTATTTAAATCAATTAAATAAATATTCCAATTAAATTTGGGGTGTTACAACTAATACATGGAAGGAGATAAAAAAATATCAAGGAAGACAAGACTGGTGCATAGAATGTGATAAGAAGATATAAATGAGACAAAACAATTGCATGGAAGAAGATATACAAGATTAATGCCTATAAAGTTAATAAGTTTATTTTAAAAAATAAGATTCATACACAAATAATATATAAAACTAGACGCTATTAATAACTCGAAATTAGCATTTTATTACACTATCATTTTATCATATGTTACTAATCTAAAAATTTTGTTATGGCTTGAACATTGCAATACATGATAACAAGGGCATCCAAAACCTACCGATAACCGCTTTGGTAAGGGTAACATATTTTAGGCTCGGGGCACTTTTTGATATCAGACGTACAACGTGGAGTTCTGTCTTACAATCTGGACAACTGTTCAATGATAGTTTAATGAAATTCATAAAGGATGAAATTGCCAAAGCTAACACACATGTGGTCACAGTGTTTGACCGTAATAAAGGTTGGTTAAGTGTTGCTGAGTCAATTGATCACAATGAAGGAAAACCTAGGGGATGCTATCGAGTGGAACTAGATAAGAGTTGTTGTGACTGCGGAAAGTTTTAGGCATTTTGTATGCCTTGCTCTCATGTAATAACAACATGTTCAAAGGCACGCCAAGACCCTACCAACTATTTGTCTGTTGTTTACCAAGTCATTAGTCTATGCAATGTATACATCATTAGCTTTTAGGTGGTAGCAAAGGAGGACTATTGGTCTCCATACGAAGGTGAAATTGTGTGGCGTAATGATTTGATGCGAAGAAAGAAAAAGGGTTGCCCTAACAGCACCCGTATTCGAACGGAGATGGATACTACAAATAAAATGGTCAGATTATGTAGTTCGTGCCGTCAACCCAGGCACAATCGGATAAATTATCCCAATGTAGGATCAAGCATAACATCATAGTTTCAAACATAACTTTGTCTCTTTATATCAACAACAAGTTTTATTCCATTAATAGCATAACTAAGCGATTACAATTAACAATGACATTAGTTAAACAATCATAACTTAATACCATAATAACAACAATTAACAATAACTTAAACAATAACAAAAATAAAACAAACAAATACAACAACTTAACAGGATAACTAAGCAATTACTATCATCAAGACAATTTCCTGAGAACTATACATCAACGTAAACATCTTGGTCATTAGTAACATTCTCCCAGAAACGAACTTCTCCATTTTGGTTGAACGTGGTAACAAGCCTTTGAATTCTTCTGATCTTTTCACCCTCTGGAATGTCTCTATCTAACCAACGGATCAGACTCCTCTTGAGATGTTCTAACGTCAATGTATTCTAGAGGCGAATCTTCATCGGAGGTTTGACTGGGAAGAAAATTAAATTGATATTTCTCTTGGTGACTGGGAAGAAAATTAAATTGATATTTCTCTTGGTGATATATGGAATCTGATAGATATATGAGGATGACGAAGAGGAAGAAAATGAAGAAGAGGAAGCCAGTTTAACTGAAAAATGCAAGGAAGTATGAAGAGAATGTAGTGCAGAGAAAAATGAGACGGTGTAGAGAAATAGACACACAAGTAGTGGTATATATAGGAGAGAATAATATAATTAATAAAAAAATTAAAAAATAAATAAAAGGAGGCGCCATATCATATGACGTATGTATCGCATGCATGATATGTAGACGCCATATGATATGAATTGAGCTACATATATAAGCCATATGATATAATGCATATGTATAAATCCAGGTGCATTCGCCATATCATATTTTTTGTATTTTTCTGTTATTTTAAAAAAAAAAATTATAAAATGAATAGCTTGTGATACATCAATTTTTGTTTTTGACAAAGTCTTACTCAGTATTCTCCAATCACGCCCTCAAAATTTCCTCACTCTTTTTCTCCCTTTCCCTCACATAGCATATTTCATCACTTCACACAACTTAGCTATTCATTCTCCACAACCAAACCCTAGCACAAGGGCCGCCCCACACGTGCTCCGCCATGACGATCAACAAACTTCTCACCCTAGTCCGCCGTTCAAATCGGCGGACTCCCATCCTCTCCTCCATCCGATCCGTCTCCCTCTCCACCTCCGCCGCCGCACCTGTCACCCGCTCTCCACCCTCCCCTCCTCCCTCACCTCCACCCCCCAACGTAATGGTCTACGATAGGTTAGCCGAATCGGTCAAAGCCAAACTCAAACGATTAGAAAATCCAGATCCGCGTTTCCTCAAATACGGTTCACCCAAACCTGAAATCCGCGACCATACGCAAATCCTCTCCGCTCCGGAAACACGCGTGACGACTCTCCCTAATGGACTCCGTGTCGCCACGGAATCTAATCTTAGTGGAAGAACAGCGACGGTTGGTGTTTGGATCGATGCGGGATCTAGATTCGAGACGGAGGAGACTAACGGAACGGCTCATTTTTTGGAGCATATGATTTTCAAGGGGACGGAGAGACGGAACGCGAGGGAACTAGAAGAGGAGATCGAGAATATGGGCGGGCATCTTAATGCGTATACCTCGAGGGAGCAGACCACTTATTATGCTAAGGTTTCACAAAATGATGTTCCTGTTGCGCTTGATATTCTGGCTGATATTCTTCAGAATTCAAAATTTGATGAGAATCGGATTAGTCGAGAGCGTGATGTTATTCTTAGGGAAATGGAAGAGGTATTGTTGCCTTTTGTTGGTATACAATTTGTTTTTGAATTTCATTATACATGAAATGGAAATTATCTGTTGTATTGTTGTATGGATCTATTTAACATGTTTAAGATTTTGTTGTGAGTGTTTGTTTGGTGGGAATTTGCTGAGAATAGTTTACAGGTGATCATTAGTATTCAAAACCCCCTTTTGTATATTTATTTTAATGCGTGGAAGAGGGTCTATTGGAGATTAGTGTTTTGATCCCCTCTCACCCCAGTAACAATGATTAGCAAACACCTACCCATTGATATTTGTTTGCTTGCTGTTGAAAAAACTGGAATTCAAGTTTTAGATACAATGTTAGGGAAGAATCTCTTGTTGAATGTATGGTAAATTATTGCCCTTTAGAGTTTGGCCGGGTGTAGAATTGGAAAACTTATGTAGAACTAGAAGCATTGGTGAATTTTTAGTGTATCTTAATTCATAAGAATAGTCCTATAGTTTTAGTGTGAAAATGCAATTGTTTTTTGTTTTTTGTTTTAGTTAAATGTTTGATTCTCATTCTTTGCTGAAAGGTTTTGTTAAATGATATCGCTTGTTTTTCTAGGTTGAGGGTCAAACAGAAGAAGTGATCTTTGATCACTTACACGCAACTGCTTTCCAGTATACGCCCCTTGGCAGAACCATTTTGGGACCTGCTCAGAACATTAAGACAATCACCAAAGCTCATCTGCAGGACTACATTCAGACACATTACACTGCTCCTAGGATGGTATGTAGATAACTGATTTAGTCGTGTCTCATGCATATTGTTAATGATGTAGCTGCGTCTCATGCGTTTTGTTACTGATATATGCATAGTGTCCATAACTCTGAAAGCAGTCATTTTCTAACTTGTAATTATTATATAGATTTTCTTTTAATACTCCCTCATCCAAAATACCCATTCTGGAAAAAAATTGTTCCAAAATGACTGATCCCTTTCAATTTTCAATAGTGGTACTTACTTTTTTTTCTCCGTCAATTGTGCCCTTTAATTAATATACTTGCATTTATCACACACAATTCAGTATCTCCCATTTTGCATTTATGGCAAAGGTGAATATGTTAAGGGTGCTACGGAAGAATATTTCTCTCTTTTTCATTAATACACTTTTTAATCTTTGTGAATTGGTTAACTGAATCAACTATTTTGGGACAGTGGGAGTAACATCTAGTTATGGAAGTTAGTCTGATAGCTGTTTTCTGTGTGGGTCTACTTTTCCAGGTGATAGCTGCCTCTGGAGCTGTAAAACACGAAGATTTTGTTGAGCAAGTGAAAAAATTATTTACTAAGTTGTCAACAAATCCCACCACAGCATCTCAGTTGGTAGAAAAAGAGCCAGCAGTTTTTACTGGTTCTGAGGTATGTATATTAATATTGAGCAGACTTGAACCAGTTACTTTAGTTAATTTGTTAACTATGTTCATCTACTTGTTCTGAAAACAGGTCCGTATGCTTGATGATGATATTCCACTTGCACAATTTGCTGTAGCTTTTGAAGGCGCATCTTGGAAAGATCCAGATTCAATTGCTTTGATGGTCATGCAAGCAATGTTGGGTTCTTGGAACAAGTCAGCCGGAGGTGGAAAACACATGGGGTATGCAACTTGAACACTCCTTCCCCAAACCCAAAGAAAACTACCCTTCATTATACATGCTTAGCTAAGTGACTTTTAACTGTGAACAGTTCAGAGCTAGCACAACGAATTGGCATTAATGAAATTGCAGAAAGCACAATGGCTTTTAACACCAATTACAAGGACACAGGTCTTTTTGGTGTTTATGCTGTTGCTAAGGTAAGCGTTAATGTGATTATGTTTAGAGTATTTTTTAAACAAAGTAGTAGCACATCAGTACTTTTTTTAAAGCTTGCATGCAAACACTAGAAAAATACATGGATTTTCTGCTACTGCCAAATGAGCATTCGTCTTGTAGTTTTTCATAGATATACAGTGGAACTACTCTCTAGGTCTGTTTTATTAATTTTGTCAAATAGTCCTATATTACTTTTCTTAAAATGAATTCCTTATTTTTATTTTTTAAAATGTCCTTGTTTTTGTTATAAGTTTTTTATATTATATTGTGAATCTAGCATCATTTTTTTAAATAACCTATTATGTTCCAATTTTTTAAATATACATGTTTATATATTTTAGTTAAAGTTGACCTTGGTTAGTGATTAGAACATAAAAAATTGTGAGAAGCATAAGAACTCCGTTCAAAACTGTTAAACTTGAAGTACTTAAATTCAATGGAATTTAAGCCAAATATGATACCATTTGGCTTAATGTCTTTTCTCCTTTTATTCAATGGCTTTTAGTTTCGTTTAGTTGTAATTAATCTTGAAAATAAAATGGATAATAGTGTTTTTCTTTGCAATATACTGTGCGTGAGCTATTAATTTGATGTTTGTCAAAGAAACATGCCTACGTTGTGTTGAAGATATGATATTGAAAGCATGCTGTAGCATTACTAGCTAATTTAGTTATTTACCCTTTTAATTATGATGACTTCAACCACTGCTTGGATAAAGCTTTCCATTTATTTTGTTGCGCTTTCAGCCGGATTGCCTGGATGATTTGGCCTATGCAATAATGTACAATACAACCAAGTTGGCTTATCAGGTTTCAGAGGATGATGTTACACGTGCTCGTAATCAGGTAGGCTTCTACTTTGGCTTAATGATTTCCTGTCTTGATGATTGAATGTGGCAACAGAATTTGGCTTATATTCTCTTATAAAAAGCTTTGGCTGTATTTTGTATTGGAGAAACAACCGAAGTTAAATTTTGTTTTGGCATTTGATTATTATATATAGCATATTGCATCATCTGGACAATTACCTCATGTGCAACTGTGCAGCAGCATTTTATCTCTCGTCACAGCCTTTCCTTTTTTTATGATTGTTGCTGACATTAACTAAACTGAATTGTTTTCAAATATATCAAATTTATCCATTCCATGTTAAGTTGAATTAGCCTGTTCAATGCTCTGTATTTGTAGTGCATTCAAACTAATTTATGTTCAGAATGTGATGGTTTGTGTTGGAATATGTGTTCACATTCTCTACAACACAAACATTTGGTCATCATGTAATAGACAGCCTTTAGTATGCCCAGAAGTTCATTTGACCGGTCACTGTTCCTTCATACTCAATTGGCTATGCTGTTTTTTTAGTTATTATGCTTTTTTACATGGTTTTTTTATTCATAAATTATATTTATCTTATTTTACTTATAATAATTTTTATCCCGTTCTTACTGTTACTAACTCACATTTAAATGTTAAATTTACAGTTAAAATCTTCGCTTCTGCTTCACATTGATGGAACAAGCCCTGTAGCTGAAGATATTGGTCGCCAGGTACCGAAGACCATGCATTTCACAATTAAAGAAAATTGTGGCATGCAAGTTCATTGTGATTTCATTCTGTACTATTTAACAAGGACTTTAGGCTGATTATTCTTTATCAATAATATTACGACGATGAAAAGTTACTTGCTAGTTAACTGAAATTTTAAGAAGTAAAACCTTTATGCAATATTATTAGCATTGTTAACATGACTGCAACTACCAATTAAATATTTCATTACTCATTTCCGCATGTTGTTTCAGCTACTCACATATGGTCGAAGAATCCCATTTGCTGAATTGTTTGCCAGAATTGACGCCGTTGATGCCAGTACTATTAAACGTGTTGCAAACCGATTTATTTATGACAAGGTAATACAATAATAAATGAAATTTGTCTTACTCCGCAGTAGAGACACCACTCTTATTCATAATTTAAGGTATTATCATGTCTCGCCTGCAGGATGTTGCTATTGCTGCCATGGGACCTATTCAGCGATTACCTGATTACAACTGGTTCAGACGCAGAACCTACTGGAACCGATATTAGTTCATTTTAGTTTTGTGCTAAATTTAAACTTCATGGAAGGTCCGGAATACTGTTTTGTTCAAGTGTACTTCACATGTGCCTCTGGATGGCTGCTTTGGCCGTCATTTTTCATTTATTTGTTATAGGCCTGTTTTTGTAATATTTATGCAAAAATAAATATGCTGTTGTCAATGTAAATGGCATCATTTCATACTGCCCTAATTTTTGTTTGAAAATGATATTGCATTGTCCTAAACTTGTTTGGTTTCAACTCATTTAGTGGTGCATTTGGATGAATCTGTGCCCAGCATAAATATTCAGTAGCCGTTTCATAATTTTTATCTCCCCCCTCCGATAGTTTTTGCTTTGTGTACTGTTTATGTTCTGTTTTCGCCCATTTTTATGGAAATGAAATGGATGAACCATTCCAATGGAAATGAAATGGATGAACCATTCCAATTACAAGAAAACCTCAACTTGAGAATTTTTGTTACATTTAAATCCTAGATCCATTGCTCCACGAGATAATTGAAATTTGGCAATGTTTCATAATCGTAGTGAAATGGTTGCCTTTCTTTGTGGTTAAATGCTATTTATGATGAGACATTATTCTTTCGTTCATCTTTTTGAAGGTTTTGGGCTGGCTTATATCAACTAATATTCTCCATTAATCGGAAAGTAACATGGAATAGATGCCTCAGTCACAATTCACAACAAAAAAAGAAAGAAAAGTAACAAATAATAGATGGTGTATTGCAATTTTTTATTTATTAATATGGCATTAGAATTATATGATTTATTATTTGATAAATTTTTTTTTCCATAGCAACTTATATATTATTTTCCAAAAAAAAAGGTTACATCTGATACATATTATTTATTTATTAAATTTGCTTTTAGGTTATATATATATATATATATATATATATATATATATATATATATATATATATATATATATATATATATATATATATATATATATATATATATATCACGAAATGGACCCCAAAAAGAATAAGTATATATATAGTTTTGATCTTATTTTTTTTGGAGTCGATTTCGTGATACAGACATCTAGACAAATTTAATATCTATTATACTTTGTGATTTTTTCTTGATGTGTCATACTAAATTTATTCACCTAAACACTGTCATGTTAACAAAATTGACTTCAAAATAGAATAAAAGATCAAGTTGAAACTGAGAATGTTTTTTCTTTTTGACTTTTTTTTTTATGACGAATGGATTAAAACTTTTTTTACATAAAGAAATTAAAAATATATTTAAATCTTTATCATATTCACATAAAAATAACCTCTCATAATAATTTCAAATACCGCTCTTTATTATATTTACATAAAAATAACATCTTATAATGATTTTAAGGACCACTCTCTAGATTTTATAAGGTGCTCGCTCACTGTCGTAAAAAATTACAATTGTTTATGAATTTCTGATATACATTTTCGTACGCACTCTTTTAGACACAATCTTCAGCACAAATTGGTGAACGACCTTTATTTTGGCAACATTTATTTTGGAGATGCATGTTCCTCCATTTCTGCAAACACGAAAAAAATCCATTTGAGTTCTTTTGTTGCAAAGTCATTTACAAATCTCATTTGATCAAGTTTCTACAAGATTTTTCAAGTTCACTCACTCCATTCGACTTCATTTGTTGCAAATTCACTCACTACATTCAAACTTCTCATCCACAACTCTAATTTGGTAACTTTCTCATTTTGTTTCATTTTTTTTTAGTTTTGAATGATGTTTTAGGTAACGTAGATCGTTTAAGATGGATTAAATAGTAGTACATTTCAAATATGTAGTTGGTATCGACATGCATTCCCATTTGGTGGAGTGTACGACATCATTGGGGTTTCTTCCATTGCTGAAAATTGTGATTTCATCTAGGGATGAATCTTTGAATTTTCTCTGTATTGTTTTCAGAGATGTATCTAAAAAATTGGTCTGACTGCATTTTGGTTGCATCAAGAAATGGTCACCTATTTGGTAGCTGGCATCAGAGGTACTCGTGCTAGATTTAAATTTTTGCAGATGGTTGTAGATGCTTACGATGATGATATATGTTGAGTACCACCGATAATGTGCATTAAGGTGTTACCTCTTGTTCTTGGTTGACACATTAATGTTTGTGGACAAAAGTGCAACCTACGTCGATGTGGTCTACCTTAAATTTTTTATCAACTTGACGGAGATTCACTGATACAACTAGAGGGCCGCTTGTTTGGTCTACCTGTACTCGAAGTTGGGCGATAGTTGTCTTTAGAAGATAAAACAGTTGATATGAAGCTTCATACTACTTACGGTAATTTACTGTTACTAATATTTTCATAACCCTTTTGTTACACTTGTTACTAATATTTCATCTGAACTATTTTCAGGGATGGATCATCTCTCACTTTCTTTGCATTTTCGAGTGGGAAAGTATGCTTAACTACACTGAGGATTGTCCACATTCTGTCGCCTTTTCCCCACTCAGAGAGAATCAAGTGATCGATGAGAGGGCAAAGCCTCATATATAAGATATGCTCGTTTCGATGATGTCAAAACTTAGCTTCATAGAAGAATCGATGTTGGGCATTATCACCATGTTGCATTTGCATACCTCGTTTCTCATGATTAAGTTGCTTGTATAAAATATCTCGGTTGTTGCATATAGATTTTTCAAAATATGTGTCATATGAGTTAGAGTTCATTCGTGTCGTTTTCCATATTATAGATGTCATCAAAAAGAGTCAAGAGTATGAAATTAGGCATTTTTTAAAGCAATTTCAGGTCTATGAGTCGACCAAAGTTTTGTTCCGGTCGACTCACACTATGAGTCTATTGTGTGAATTTTCTTCGGGAGAGCTCGCGTCGACCCACCTATCGACTCATACTGTGAGCATTTCAATTTGTCCAAAAATGCATCCCATGCGTCGACGCATGCCTTGTTCCGGTCGACATATGGTTCTGGAATTTGCCCAAGTTTTCAGCCGGGTCAGCTCAGGTCGACCCTGTTTCCTGCATAGGTCGACCGCTCGCTGTTTTATGTCATTTTTCTGTTATGTCTACTATTTTTGTAAAGTGGTCTTAGTTGTTATGAGAGTTATGGTTGGTATATATGTTGAGTTGCTTGTTTCACTTCACAACATTGAGAAAAACAAGAAAAGTGAAATAGGTGTCGATTCGGTTCTCATCATTTCATTCTCTTTATAGCATACCACAACAATCACACATAATAATTTTTGTTGTGCATTATGCATGGTTAGAGGTGATAACGTTCGAAGCCGAAGATTTGGTAATCTGGTTCGGGTTGAGGAATCAACAAGTTTTTCTTAAATAAAACCTCTAGGGTTTTGTCCTAAAAGATTCTATGAATTTGGGGTTTTTTGCACGATTCATCTCAACACATATTCAGCCGAGTAAAGGTAATCGAGGAGCGGTGGGTTCCGTTGATTTAGTAACGGCAAACGGAGGATTATGAAGGAGAGTTTCAGGTTCGACACGCGGGTGATTGAAATCAGCCGGGCCAGATTTTGAAAATGAAAGGTTGTTCAAAGATAGTGCCACAATCAGAGGTTTATTCACAAGCTGTCGAAGTACTTGATTTGACTCGAATCAAGGGGCAAGAAGAGATAGTATCTACAACAACAAGAGTGTTCGTGTGTTTGATTGCTATTTACTTCTTGTATAAACTTTCAACAACAGGTTTAATCTATATATTAACAGGTCTCAATTCTATTATTGGAATTGAGGGCAGACATACCCCGAGCTAGGACGACGGGAGAACTGCCTCAACAAATCATTGTGTCTTTTGCCTTACGTTTTATATTGCTTAATATTTGTGGTTTTAGTGCAAACAATTATATCAATCTATGTTTGGTTTGAGTAGTGCTACATTGATTTTGAATCTAGTACAATCATTGATTGTACAAGGAAACTTGAGTAACTCACTCAAAACAGAACTCACTTGTAGTGCTCTGCACACCAAGTGTTTGATAAATTGTCTGAACCAAACGTCTTGTGTGATGTCCTTTCAATATGTTAATATTTTTAAGGCATTGGAACTAGTCACACCATATAGTGAGCTGAATCAAATTGATAGTATGATTAACGTAGTGATTCTCATATTTCATTATCGGATTCCATAGGCTTAACGCATATCCAGTTTTCTAGTAACCGTTCATTTTAAACGGTATATTTCCTCGACCGCTTCCGCAAATTAAACAATTTTTTAAAAACCAATTTTATTGGTAGCGCCGACTCATTTAAGAAGGCGATCTATTCAACCCCCATTCTAGATCCGTGTTGTCGCAACTGCGAAAAACACCCGGCAGAAAACAGAAGAGTCACCACCTTTCGTTATTTATCCAAAAGAGAGAGAAAGGAAACGACCGGAAAAACCTAACGAAAAGGGAAAAGACTAGGTCATCGCAACCAAGTCCTGGATTCGGGAGTCGGTTACGCAAGGGGAAGGTATTAGCACCCCTCACGTCCGTCGTACTCGATGGGATCCACGCTTGTTGTCTATCTAAGGGTGTGTTTAAAATATCTACGCTACAAGCTCACAGGACAAAAAGAAAAGAGACTCGGCAGAGCATCACCGCTTTGTGCCTACGTATTCCCTCGTGCAATGGGAAAGTCAGAGTCAACGTAGTTTGGCTAACTACGGGGAAAAGGGGGAAGGTTGCTCGCCAAGACATCACGTCTTGTGCCTACGTATTCTCGTCTGGTACGAGAATTCATAGCAAACATAGTTCGGGCTAACAAGAACACCGGTTGTTCAACATGTTTTACCCGAGTAGGGTTAAACCTTCGTTCCAGCACTTAGGGACGATGCCTGTTTGCGATAGAACTAAAGCTTAACAACACTCTTTTTATGAAGAAGGTTTTCCATTATTAAGGGTCCCAAAGGACAAAAAGAAGTTTGAAGTTGTTTTTGTGTCTTTTAGGGAAGAAGTGTTTTGAGTTTAATTGGTAACTCATGTTGCACTAAAGACTATGACCTA